CTTACTTCCTTTCTCTCTCTCTCAATCTCTCTCTCTCTCTCTCTTTTTGTTGAGAAAGGGTCTCGCTCTGTCACCCAGGCTGGAGTGCAGTGGCACAATCTGGGCTCACTGCAACATTCACTTCCAAGGCTCAAGCGATTCTCCTGCCTCAGTCTCCCTAGTAGCTCTCTGTCTCTTTTTAAAAATCCTTTTCTTACACCCTTTTCGAATTCAGCTTATGCCCACTACTCAATGCAGCAGTGTTTATTGTTAAATAATTCTGTTCTGTATTTTGTAAAATATGGATTGTGCCTAGATGTGGTTGCTGTGTGTAGTAATTAGAGACGGCGTTTGGGAGATGACTCGTAACCAGGGCTTCTCTCATTTAAAGATAAGCACCAGCTGTTTGTGTATTCATTTTCTCCCACTACTGCCACCAATTAGTTTTCCATAGTAAATTTTGCTGTAGTGGTTAGATTATCCATCATTTGAGTTCATGTTTACAAAGTATTTCCATATTGTACAGTACTGTTTACCCCATTTTTTGTTTGTTTGTTTGAGATGGAGTTTTGCTCTTGTTGCCTAGGCTGGGGTGCAGTGGCACAATCTGGGCTCTTCCTCCCGGGTTTGAGCAATTTTCCTGTCTCAGCCTCTCGAGTATATGGGATTACAGGCGCCCACCACCATGCCTGGCTAATTTTTGTATTTTTAGTAGACATGGGGTTTCGCCGTGTAAGCCAGGCTGGTCTTGAACTCCTGACCTCAGGTGATCCACCTGCCTTGGCCTACCAAAATGCTGGGATTACAGCCATGAGCCACCACGTCCGGCCTAACATTTTTTTTTTTTTTTCCTTACAATATATTAGTTACAGGGAAAGTAGAGATGGGGTCATTGAGGAAAAAAAAGTCAAATAATTTTGGTCTCTGGTCCCTTGACTCCCAAACTTTGGTCCTAGGATGAGTACTTTCAGCTTTATCTGGGACCAAAATGCAAATTATTATTATTATTGAGACAGGATCTTGCTTTGTCACCGAGGCTAGAGTGCGGTGGCACCATCATGCCTTACTGCAGCCTTGATCTGCCAAATTCAAGTGATCTTCCCACCTCAGCCTCCCAGGTAGGTGGCATGCACCACACGTGCCTGGCTTTTTAACGGTTTTGTAAAGACAAGGTCTCACTATGTTGCTCAGGCTGGTCCCAAACTCCTGAGCTCAAGTAATCCTCTCTCTCGGCCTCCCGAAAGTGCTGGGATTATAGGTGTGAGCCATCACACTTGTCAGAAATGTAAATTATTAAACTCACCTGGAACCTACTGAACTCTTAGGGCCCTGTAACTTGTATTTCTACAGCTCCTCCAGGTGATGAGATGTAAAAGTAAAGTTTGCAATCCACTGATCAGTACTATCCTTATCCTCAAGCTACAGACACACCCAATATGGCTGACAGTTGTGGAGACCAATGTTTTGGTAACACAATTAATGAGTCAGTCACCTTCCCAGTGTTAAACAATTTCCACAAGTAAATTCAGTGGTAAGTCTTGTCTTGAGATGTTCATTGGCCATGACCTATTTTTGGCAACTTATTTTTCATTTTCCAAGGCCCCAAATGTCAGAATTTTCATATTTCCAATTGCTAGATGTATGCTAATAGAAGACTGCCCCTAGCCACATGTGCCTTAACATTTGCCTATTTAAATACGTTGTATACAGTCTTTTGCAAGTATTTGCTTGGCATCGTTCAGCATCCAGGAAGTGTTTCCATGGTAACTTTGCTGCACCAAAATCAGGTGCAGATTACACCAGCTCACACAGATGGCAAGATCACCTCTGGACTTGCCGCCTGGGTCTTTAAAATTCTGCATGTTAAACCTCTTTCCCGCCTCTGAGATGATAATTTTTTTTATTTTTTAATTTTTATTATTAATTATTATTATTTATTATTATTATTTTTTGAGATAGAGTCTTGCTCTGTTGCCCAGGCTGGAGTGCAATGGCACGATCTCGGCTCACAGAAACCTTCGCCTCCCAGGCTCAAGAAATTCTCTGCCTCAGCTTCCCGAGTAGCTGGGACTGCTGGTGCCTGCCACCATGCCTGACTAACTTTTGTATTTTTAGTAGAGACGGGGTTTCACCATCTTGGCCAGGCTGGTCTTGAACTCCTGACCTCATGATCCACCCGCCTTGGCCTCCCAAAGTGCTGGGATTACAGGCATGAGCCACCGTGCCTGGCTATTTTTAAATTTTTTTTATTTATTCATCTTTTGAGACACAGTTTCTCTCTTGTCACCCAGGCTGGAGTGCAGTGGTGCCATCTTGGCTCACTGCAACCTCTGTCTCCCAGGTTCAAGCAATTCTCCTGCCTCAGCCTCCCGAGTAGCTGGGATTACAGGTGCCTGCCACCAAGCCCGGCTAATTTTTGTATTTACTAATTAGTAGAGATGGGGGTTCCACCATGTCAGCCAGGCTGGTCTCGAACTCCTGACCTCAGGTGATCCACCCGTCTTGGCCTCCCAAAGTGCTGGGATTACAGGCGTGAGCTACTGCACCCGGCCTGAGATGAGAATTTAAAATAATGCTTTGGGTTCTGTGATCTAGACAACAACTTCTTTTGTTGCTAATTAGATGAATGTTATAGAAAGTAAAATGATTGGGCCCCCGGAGAAGCAGGATTTTCCTCAGGGAATCCAGTTGGAGAATGTCTTTGTTACTGGAGGATTGTTGTTTTAGTTAAAGATGCGCTTTGGAAGTGTCTTCTTTCTTCACGTTAGTATCATGATCATTATCGTGTAAAAAAAAAAAAAAAGAAAATATTTACGGCCAGGCACTGTGGCTCACCCCTGTAATCCCAACACTTGGGGAGGCCGAGGCGGGCGGATCACAAGGTCAAGAGACCGAGATCATCCTGGCCAACATGGTGAAACCCTGTCTCTACTAAAAATACAAAAATTAGCTGGGCGTGGTGGCATGCACCTGTAGTTCCAGCTGCTAAGGAGGCTGAGGCAGGAGAATTGCTTGAATCCGGGAGGCAGAGGTTACAGTGAGCCGAGATCATGCCACTGCACTCCAGTCTGCCAATAAAGCAAGACTCCATCTCAAAAAAAAAATATATATATATATAAACCACCTGGCCACCCAGAACAGAATTACAATCAGCACTCTGTTTCCTCAGGTCCTGAATCCTTAGATTCAACCATCCTCAGCACTGTTTCCCCAGGTCCTAAATCCTTGGATTCACCCAACCTCAGCACTGTTTCCCCAGGTCCTAAATCCTCGGATTCATCCTTGGGCGGGGAAAAGAATGGTTGCTTCTGTACTGAACATGTACAGGCTTTTTTTTTTTCTTCTTCTTGGCATTATTCCCTAAGGAATACAGCATAACAACAGTTTACACAGCATTTACATTGTATTCGGTATTATAAGTAATTTAGAGATGATTTAAAGTACAAGAAAGGCTGTGCACAGATTATATGCAAATACTGCATCATGTTATATCAGGGACTTATGCATCTGTGGACTTTGGTATTCTCAGAGGTCCTCCAAGGGATGACTGTACTTAATAGGTTGTCCAAAATGAATTGGACTGCCAGCATTCTCTACTTTTCCATGTCTTACTCTTAGGTTGGGGAAAAAACAAATCCCTGTATTTTATAATTAAGAATGAATCCCTGAGTCACTTGACTTTCTTCAATAACAAAGCAAACCACATAAAAATACCCTTCCAAGGAAAGCCATCAGAATGGATACAATCTCACCCCATTAACTAACCTTTCTGCCAGTGCGGCTGAGCCTCTCGACACTTTAACAAACTCTCTCGGAGCCAGTCTTCTCGGTGCCATCTTTGCTTTCACTTAACTTTACATGTCTAGTGTTGCTGCTCAAACCTGTGTCCCCTCAAGTCCTCTCCCAACTAAAGGATGGTGGTTATTTGACAATAGACAAACAAGTCTCAGAACAATTATGAGGGTGTAATGAAGTTTGCATTCGTACATGTAATTAAATAGAGGAAAGATGCATGAGGGAATGTGGACACAATCCTCCTCCAGCTGGCACGCCTTGCCTGGAGGTGCTCCTCTGGCAAGGAGATGAAGTCCCAGATTTTTAGTGCATTATGCAAGGTTGTTTCCACCTCCCTCACTGGTTGACTTAGCCTGGCAGGTAGCAAACTCTCAGTTTTGTTTGCCTCCAACTCAGCTTTCCCCAGGCCTTTCGCACCTTGGCCTTCAGATGGGAAGCCAAGAGGTGCTCAGCACATGGAGGAGGCAATCTTTTCCCCCTTTGATTATGATTATTTTAATTCATTCAGATTCTAAGTCCTCTGTCGTTTCAAAGAAAGGATACTGTCTTCACTTGGAGCTATGTTCTACATATCATCCTAAGTGGAAAAACAACTATTAAATAGGCCGGGCGTGGTGGCTCACGCCTGTAATCCCAGCACTTTGGGAGGCCAAGGTGGGTGGATCGCTTGAGCCCAAGAGTTCAAGACCAGCTTGGCCAACATGGCGAAATCCCATCTCTTTTAAATACAAAAATTAGCTGGGCGTGGTGGCACATGCCTGTAATCCCAGCTACTTGTGAGGCTGAGGCAGGAGGATTGCTTGAGCCCAGGAGGTCAAGGCTGCAGTGAGACGTGATGGCGCCACTGCACTGCAGCCTGGGTGACAGAGTCAGACACTGCCTCAAAGGAAGAAAAAGCAAACATACCTCAAATTATGTCTGCAAAATAAAAGACTTCTGAATGGAATACAGAGAAAGCCTCTAAGATGGCCCCAGGGGAGTGTTAACATGTCTAGCCTGATTAATTGGCTAGTTTGGAAATAACTGTATCCAGAGTGACAAGGCATGGCTGGCTAGTGTCAACTTTGTCCTCAGCTATAGTTAAAGGCAGGCTGGGAGGACTGACTTGTTCAGTCTCAGTAGCAAAAAAGTGCATAGTGTCTGGATAAGCAGGTTGTACAGCCTATTAGAAAAGAAAGGTAACAGGTAACAGTCTTCCTCTAATACGATAAGTTTTTTTTTTAAAGTTCTCCTGTCAAGATTTTTTAATACCGGAATCTGAGAGTGGAGAAAATTGGGCCAAGGACAGACAAAAGAGCTGGGAGGAAAATCGACTGTATTTTTCAACACACAAACAATGCCATTTGAAGTACTGGATTGAGTACAGAAGTATCATGAACATTCCTAATTTGGTTAGTGTCTATATTTCTTAATATAGTAATACTATTAATATCTGTCTCCTAAGTTTGTATAAATCCAAACCCCCATATTATTGGCCAGTTGGAAACAATAATGTAAACAGACTCTGTTGCCCAAATTAAGTTATGTGCACTGAATGCTTTGTCAAACTGCAACTATTTTAATATTCATTCTAGCCACAAGTCTTTGCCAAACAAGATCACTCTTTTGTTTAGGAGTAGAATACACAATAACCTAATATTTAAAAGTATTATTCAGAAGAAGAACAGCTTGGGATTGAATTTTTCTTTATCATAAATTTTAGATCATTCTCTTTGCTCTACTCCGTAGAAGACACTAAGAATTAGATGGATCTGCTTCCTCATTTTATTGTTTTCTACTTGATCTAAAAATCCAGAGGCGGGTTATGTAGAGAGTTTATTTAGCAGACTTTGGTAAGGGAGGGAGAAAAATAATGTACAAGCTGGAAACTCATGAAAAATGTAAACAATGAGAGCTAGAAGAATGGAAGCGACAGCGTGCTCAGGAAATGATGTGTCATTCTGTCAGAGTTCAGGGTGCCCTGAATCCCATGAGAGTAGCACTGGCTTTCCTGCCCATTGTGAAGGCAAGGAATCCGTGTGTTGTCCTATCAATTCCATTCATGGCAGGGTAGAGACTTTTCAAATGGAAGAAAATGTGCATTAAAGGACATTCTTTCTTCGTGGGGTGGGGTAGTGAAGGTGTTGGGGTTGAGGCACTGAGTTGTTTAGGTCAGGTAAACAGTGAGGGGAAATGGGCAGGCAGTCAATGGTTAAGTTGGTGTTTTGCAAACCATTTCAAGAGGATACCACATAAAATGCATTCATCTACATTTCATTAAAAATTAGTTGGTGGGAAAGTGGAAAGCTGAAGGCAAGAACCTTCCAAGTAAAACAGCTTGATACTTACTCCTTGGCCAGAACACCACTATATTTACAAATAGGGGATAACAACATTCACTTCCTAGGTGGTCCATAAGCTTAACTGGGCAGGCATATGACACTTCTGAGCATTCAATGTCATGATGGATTTTTAGGTCAAGTAGAAAACAAGAAAATGAGAAAGCGGATCAATCTAATTCTTAGTGTCTTCTATGGAGTAGAGCAAAGAGAATGATCTAAAATTTATGATAAAGAAAAATCCAATCCCAAGCTGTTCTTCCAAATAATGCTTTTAAATATTAGGTTGTTGCATATTCTACTCCTAAAGAAAAATGATGTTCCCCTGTCTGAGCATCATTTGTGACCAAGATTGAAATGATTTCCCATGAAGTTCTAAGGTCTCATCTAACTCAGTGGATGTAGCTCACGACTTGTTCGTTTGACCCCAGTATTCTAATACAAACACCACAGCCGATGCTGGAAGTGAGAGGAGAGGGGTTCGTTTCAGTGTGGAGCCCAAGGTGCCCCAGCAATTTCAGACCCCCTGGGACAGGAACTCCTCCTCCAGTAAGCTCTTGTTTTGAAAAACAGTGGGGTGGGGCCAAAAAAGCATTACAATGGAGCTGGGGTGGAGGAGGCTTTCTTCTATTTGAGATGTCGCTTGTGTCAGGTTTCATGAAACAGCGCATTGGAAAACAGAAGCTATTTTCTATCCCGTGGGTTGCGCTGGAAGAGCCGAGAGGCCAGGCTGTGGATCCTTGCCACGAACAACAAGAGAGGGCAAGTCCAGCCGCCTGCTAGGGGACTAGCAGGAAGCAGCACGCCTGCCAGAGCTCATCACTTCAACTCTGGCTTTCACTGCGCTCATTCCCTGAATGGCAATAACCAGGGGGCGGGGGTGGCATGGGAAATGAAAGACAAGAGATCTGGGAAACTAAATCTGCCGGGGGAAAGAGAGTTACCGGAGTTTTAGCCAAACAGCTAGCAGATGCAAACGGGGAGGCAGAGGGAGGAGGGAAGGCTGGGCTTCAGCAACCTGCCACGGGGATTTAAACAAAGGAGGTTTGAGAGAGAGGCGGGATCTGGCTGTAATATCGGCACGGGGACAGAGACAGCAGCTGGACTCGCGGGATGAAGCGGAATCAATTCCCAGCGTCTGCAACAGGGCAGGAGTGACTGGAGTATGTCCCAAAATAAGAACTCAGGGAAACGAGTGAGTTTGGAACAAAGACTTACAGATTGTGACGGTCTCTGACATTTCACCCTTCTTTGAGGCATGCCTTTATCAATGCGTTACCTCTTTGTAATTTCTGTCTCTAGTGTAATTATTTTTATCGTCTTCTCTGTGTTCAATTTTGGGGGAGATCAAAGCTTCCAGAGGCTAAATATCTCAGACCCTTTGATGCTGACTCAAGTTTGCACATCTTTTATCAATGGAAAAACACGTTTCCTGTGGAAAAACAAACTAATGATCCATGAGAAGTCTTCTTGCAAGGAATACTTGACCCAGAGCCACTACATCACAGCCCCTTTATCTAAGGAAGAAGATGACTTTCCCTTGGCATATATAATGGTCATCCATCATCACTTTGACACCTTTGCAAGGCTCTTCAGGGCTATTTACATGCCCCAAAATATCTACTGTATTCATGTGGATGAAAAAGCAACAACCGAATTTAAAGATGCGGTGGAGCAACTATTGAGCTGCTTCCCAAACGCTTTTCTGGCTTCCAAGATGGAACCGGTTGTCTATGGTGGGATCTCCAGGCTCCAGGCTGACCTGAACTGCATCAAAGATCTTTCTGCCTTGGAGGTCTCATGGAAGTACGTTATCAACACCTGTGGGCAAGACTTCCCCCTGAAAACCAACAAGGAAATAGTTCAGTATCTGAAAGGATTTAAAGGTAAAAATATCACCCCAGGGGTGCTGCCCCCAGCTCATGCAATTGGACGGACTAAATATGTCCACCAAGAGCACCTGGGCAAAGAGCTTTCATATGTGATAAGAACAACAGCGTTGAAACCACCTCCCCCCCATAATCTCACGATTTACTTTGGCTCTGCCTATGTGGCTCTGTCAAGAGAGTTTGCCAACTTTGTTCTGCATGACCCACGAGCTGTTGATTTGCTCCAGTGGTCCAAGGACACTTTCAGTCCTGATGAGCATTTCTGGGTGACACTCAATAGGATTCCAGGTACGTACAACTCTATTTCACACAAAAGAAATGTGTCATATTTGAAAGGTCTTTAGAATAACCAGCCACTTTTTATTAGGAAGTAGAAGATGAAAACTGGAATGAATATATGTAGTTCTCACTCTAGTCCTTTCTAAATGCAGAAGATGTTCTTTTTTTTTTTTTTTTTTCTTTTTTTGAGACAGGGTCTTGCTCTGTGGCCCAGGCTGGAGTGCAGGTGCGCCATCACGGCTCACTGAAGCCTGGACCTCCTAGTCTCAAGTAATCCTCCCACCTCAGCCTCCTGAGTAGCTGGGACTACAAGTGCACGCCACCACGCTAGGCTAATTTTTAAAGAAATTTTTGTGGAGACAGGGTCTCGTTATGTTGCCCAGGCTGGTCTCCAACTCCACAGCTCAAGCTATCCTCCCCGCCTTGGCCTCCCAAAGTGCTGGGATTATAAGCAGGAGCCACCATGCCTGGCCCAGAATGATGTTCTTTATGTGATAATTCACATGTTCTAGCAGTACTAAGTAATACCTTTCCATGGTATCACTCTGTGGTCCATTAAGTTCTTTTGCACACATCATCGTATTACATCTTTACCACAATAGCTATTAGTCCACACTGCTGTTCTTTCTTTCCCCTAAATTTGTCAAGCTTGCTCTTACCCCAGGATCTTTGCCTTGGCCACCCTCCTGCTTACTCCAGGCCTCCACAGCCTCCTCCCCCTTAGCCAGATCTCAGCTTTCAGGTGTCAGCAGTGCTGATATTCCCCCTCATTGACCAGCACACCACCCTGCTTTTCCTTTAAAGAGTTTTTCGCCATGCGGAATTAGGATATTTACCTATTTGCATGGGTTTGTTCTAGGTCTTCTCTGCATTTGTTCCATGAAGCCAGGGTTATTTTCTATCTCATTAACTGCTCCTCAGTGCTTAGAACAGAGAGTAAATGCTCAATAAGTATATATGAGATGAATAAATGAGTGAGTGAGTGAATGGTAAAGCATGAGGCTTTACTATGGCACCAGAGCTGTCTCCCTAAGACACGGTTCAGCCGAGAAATATTTGGACTCATGCATGTGCCATTTTATATGTGTAGCATTTTTAAAAATACATTTTATTTCAGATAAAATAATGAGATTCTAGGAGAAACTCTTGGCTTTCTCATCCAAATTTTCCTATCTTTACTAATTTACCAGACCGATTGTTTTTTAAAGTGTATAAAACATGATAGGATTTCTTCTGAAGGAAACAACGTGCTTTGGACTCAATGAAAAATACAAAATGGATCTCTGATGAACTAGACAGCATTATTATAGCAAGAGAAAAGCAATCATTGTTCTGGCTGTTGGGGGGTTGCCAACTTGGAAAGGCTTGTAGGTGCTCTCAGGCTGCAGGGCAGGGCCTGCTGGGCAATAAACACGCCAGCATTCTCTGGAAAATACCATGGCTGGTGTCTGAATCCCAGAGTGGCTTGTCTGGTGAAGGGGGCTCACTTGTACGCTGCGCACACTCTTTCCGCACCTGCCCCTCCCTGGGTTCATCCTCTCTTCGCTCTTGATCTGTTGTTTCTACCATTTGCATATCATTGAGGAGAATTAGGTACTTAGGAGCTGATTTTCATATTTAAATATTCCCTTTCTATTTTCATTCTTCCTTTAAAATTCATAAAAATTGGGTCTCAGTCAAGTGGGTCCGTAAGTATTGTGCTGAGATGAGGGCATTTCGTAAGTTAACAAAAGTCTGAACTGTTGCTTTTTTTTTTTTTTTTTAAGAAAAACATGGGTTTTGGTTTCTAATAAATGTAAATATTTGTGGTTACTTTGCCAGAAGCCTGGTCAGTTTTATCAATGTCAAATAATACAAGAAAATCAAGGGAAAAAGAATTCCCCTTTTTTCCTTACCCCTTTCTGA